GTGGCAGCCACTGGCCACATGTGGCCTTGAGCACTGAAATATGGCTGGTGCCACTGAGTAACTGGCGTGTCAATTTTATATAAGTTTAATTTAGATCTCAGTATCTGCACATGGCAGGCATGTGTTGGAGAGCACCAGTGCACACTCACAGGGGAGTTCCACTCAGTGTGGGTCTTGGTTTTCCTACTGAGGTTTAACAAGGCAAAAAATCCCCTTTCTAAAACTGTATTAATACATTAGTTTCCCAGATCAAAATTGATGTCAACCTTGATTACCTGAACTATTTGAGGAGTTACACTAATGAATTTAGTTTTCTTGTGAAATATTTATCAGTATTGTCTTTCTAAAATGTATTAGCCCATGATTGAGGCTTTGCAAGTAGTAATGAGCATAGGGAAACTTTCCTTGAAACATCATCACTGAGCTCTAGTTCTCACACCATGAAGAAAGATGCAGGGAGTGAATTGTGAAAGCAATGCAGACAAATCTGCTTGGTCCACCGAGCCATCCCAGAGCAGAAGCTGTCTGTCTGGGCGGAGTAGTCTCCAAAAATGCCATAGAAGGGTTTGGAAGCAATTTTCCTGGAATCCATGGGATGGTGCCCTGAATCCCACAGAATGCTGCAGGAGTAGACATCCTGGAATTCCACAGATGGTGCGGGAGCAGGCATCCTGCAATCCCACAGACGGTGGGGGAGCAGGCATCCTGCAATCCCATGGATGGTGTGGGAGCAGGCATCCTGCAATTTCATGGACGGTGTGGGAGCAGACATCCTGCAATTTCATGGATGGTGTGGGAGCAGACATCATGAAATCCCAAGGACACTGCAGGCGCAGGCATCCTGGAATCCCATGGACACTGTGGGAGCAGGCATCTTGCAATCTCACGGACAGTGTGGAAGCAGGCATCCTGCAATCCCATGGACGGTGTGGGAGCAGGCATCCTGCAATCCCATGGACGGTGTGGGAGCAGGCATCCTGCAATTTCATGGACAGTGCGGGAGCAGGCATCATGAAATCCCACGGACACTGTGGGAGCAGGCATCCTGGAATCCCATGGACACTGCGGGAGCAGGCATCCTGCAATCTCACGGATGGTGAGGAGCAGGCATCGTAGAATCCCACAGACACTGCGGGAGCAGGCATCCTAGAATCCCACAGATGGTGTGGGAGCACAGGCATCCTGCAATCTCATGGACAGTGCGGGAGCAGGCATCCTGGAATCCCACAAACAGTGCAGGAGTAGGCATCCTGGAATTGCATGGGTGCTGTGGGAACAGGCATCCTGCAATCCCACAGATGGTACAGGAGCAGGCATCCTGCAATCCCACAGACGATACGGGAGCAGGCATCCTGGAATCCACAGACAGTGCAGGAGCAGGCATCCTGGCATCCCACAGACACTGAGGGAGCAGGCATCCTGGAATCCCACAGACACTGAGGGAGCAGGCATCCTGGAATCCCATGGGTGCTGCGGGAGCGGGCATCCTGGAATCCCACGGACACTGAGGGAGCAGGCATCCTGGAATCCCACAGACAGTGCAGGAGCAGGCATCCTGGAATCCCATGGGTGCTGCGGGAGCAGGCATCCTGGAATCCCACAGACAGTGCAGGAGCAGGCATCCTGGAATCCCACGGACACTGAGGGAGCTGGCATCCTGGAATCCCATGGGTGCTGCGGGAGCAGGACACTAAAGGAAAACCTGCCCCAGCAGCCTTCTTTTAATATCTAACACATGTTGGGTTAAATGATTTTACTTCACCCGCATTTTCTGTTGTCTCAGAGGAGGTCAAACCTCACAGCTCTGTGCTCTATGTGGCTTCTTTCATTGAATAAACACAATGTGTGGGTCAGCCCTGAGCATTCTGTAGTGGACACTGTGGTCATGAACATAACCACAGGTGGGCCAGGGGCACCACAGAGAAACCAGGGTATTTTCTGGGTGGGGGGCTTCTGAGGCAGGAAGAGCAAAAGCACTTTCAATAACTGTGTCCCTGATGTCTTCTCGTTTCTTGTGTGATCTCAAGTTCTAAAACCTGGGTGTTGAACAGTTTTCCTGGTCAATTTGATGGTCTTTTTATGGGGATTCAAGTTCATCAAAAATGTTATTGTGTGTGCAAGGAACAGTATGTCGATTCAGGGATCAAACAGGACACTGCTGGCACATGCCAAGGATAAAACTGAAAAGTGCCTAAATGCAGAGAATCCTTACAGAGGTCTGGGCAGTCAAGAAACCCTGTGAGAACTGTGAAGCCTCCACTCTCCAGCCATGGAAAGCCAGAACCCTGGCCAGAGGGGCAGGCAAGGGACCCGAGATACCAGGGCATGGCAAGAGTGGTATTTTGAGCAGCCACAGAGGGCCAGAGCCTGGGATGGAGGCAAGAAGCACCCCCAGCCCTCCTGCCCCCATCTCCTGCAGGTGCCTCTTGCAGCAGCCACTGCAGGGGAGGGGAGGGAGGGAGATGGGTGGGCAGAGGAAGCAGCAGCATAACACTGTCCAGGGCTTTCTAAGTCCAGGAGGTGAGGTCCTAGATCAACTCAGAAACACAGACACATCCAGACACTTCTTTCTCAGCTCTCAGATCTTCCACTCTCCAGAGATCAGGCCTTTAGGAGAGCCAAGAAAGCCTTCGTTTAGGAAGAATCGTGTGGGGCACCGGGCCCACCATGGCTCCAAGGCCCACGGTATTCCCACCGCCTGCTTCTGTAAGGTCGGCAGGTTGTCGGTAAAGGTGGCAATGCAGAATCTACATGGGGAACATCAGGCCCCTGCAGAGCTGGCACAGGAGCTTCCTCCACACCTCATCAAAGCCTGTCTTGCCAGGCAAGAGCCCAGGCCTCCAGGCGAAACCTCTGCAGGGACTGAGGGAGGGAGGGTTGGTGCCCCCAGCACACAGCTGTGCACAAGCAGCCCCAGGGGCCACGTGGTGCCAGAGCTGAGGTAAATAAAGGTGGGGCCAGCAGAGGACCCTGGATCTGCCGCAGGACTGGATGCCGACCTGACAGGACTCACTCAGCACCAACTGCTCCAGCTGCAGAGAGCAGCCTCGCCAGCCTCTGTGCCACAGGACCCAACCCAGGCCTCTGCTCCTGCTGCTGCTGACTTCGAAGCCCCGCCCGACAGCAAGTGGCTGCTTCCACCTTTAGCCCAGCACACAGCTCGCTGCCACCACTGAGACCACAGTTCCGGTCCCGTCCATTCTCACCCCACCAAAATCCCCACCCATAACAAACCCGGACGCTGCTAACTCAGGAGCCGCCGATTCCACTGTTTCCGCCCCTTCCTGCATCCCTCCCCGCATGGTCCCGTCCCGAAGGGCTCTGCACAGAGGGGGCAGCTGGGGGTCCTCCGTGGACCCACTCGAGCCCACGGGGCCCAGGTGCAGGGTCGGCTCAGCCAGGACCCAGCGGCTCCGGGGCAGAGGACCTGGGCGTGGGGCCGCCTTTCTCCCCCACCCAGCCTCGCCGATCGCCTCGCCTTGATTGCCTCCTTTCTGCTCCCGCGTGCTCACCCACACTGGACGCGGCTTCTCCATCCAGAATTACGTGGGAGGCGTTTTTCTGTCATTGAATTTCTTGGTGAATGCCCGTGGCCTCAGTGCCGCCTGTGCTTGAGGAAGACTCAGAGGAGCCTCGTCCCAGACCTTCCTCTTGAACCCCAGCCAGGCCCTTCAGACCCCGTCAGAACCCCTCAGAGCCCCCAGGACCACCACGCCCTGCCAGGAGCCCTGGACCCCAGACCCCGCCAGCACCCCGGGACCCTGT